AAAAATTGGTATAATATAGATAAATCTAAACAAACTAGGGAAATTAGGGCATATGATGCTAAAATTAATCATACGTTTACTTCTTTTGGTCAAAAATTTGTGAATTACCTTGGTCCGAAATTTTATAACTTTCTAGATTTAGATTGAAAAAAAAAAATTAATAATAACCCGAAATATGCAAAAAATATTATATAATATCATTGCTTAATATTAATTATTATACTTTGTTCTAATTTAAATTTTATTTCAATCGACTTGTATAATTTGTATATAATTACTAAGCGTGTTGATACTGTTATAATAAGCAATCTGTATATTGGTATGTAATATTAACTCCCTACCTTCATCACAAGCTATGCTTAGAGAAGGTAGGTATAAATTTAAGATACATTGTATTGTTGTATTTATAATGTGTACGATTTATCTTTTATTTAAATAAAACAAAAAAATTAATGCTCGGATATAAATATCAAAATATTTCATTAAATAGCCAAAAAATAAAATAAAAAAATAAAACAAAATTGTATCGTTTAAATGACATTAAAATAAAAATAACATCTAAAATATAACTATATTTACATAAAACTTTGTCAACATAGTATTTTTAAATATTTATTAAAAAAAAAAACTAATTGGCTAAAATTACAATAATTCATTTTTTAAAAACATTTCACACTATAAGAACAGTGTGTATATAACAGAGTATTCAATAAATAATTAAATTTCCAAAGAATAAATCAATTATGAATCGAGTTGTAGATTTTCTAATAAAATTGTAAAAAGGTGTGAAAAGGCATAGTGGAAGTGAAGATGGATCTAAATTGCCTCGAATAAGTCAAAGAATAGAATAAATACAACTTATCATTATCTTCTTGTTGAATCGACTCCAGTAAGTTTAATTATAATGTGCCAGGTTGGTTTTTCACCCATTTTTATGAATGTATGCTCCGGTCACTGGACAACATCAGTCCTGACCGAAAAGGAATTTCAAGATTCAGAGGGCTAATATTCGATGAATTGAATATGTTAGCCACTTTACGAGTACGTTGCTTCGATAACATTGTTGTGCCTATACGAGTTGTTGTGCTCGTACGGGTTGTTTTATTTGTTCGGTAGTGTGAGGATCCAATTATAGGAGAAAGTACAACGGAACAGTTCTAAGGATTTTTAGTTACTAATATATTTTAATGCGAGTCGAACTATATAATTAAAGAGTAATTTATTATAATAGTCGTTGTGACAACGTACAGTTTTAAAAGTGGTAGCTCGACTGACTGCGCGGCTCTCTCACGGGTGCCGTATGGCTACAATATTCTAGGAGCCGCCTACNTAATATACTCTTATGCTCTAATACAAAGGGCTTATACTACTATACTATATACTATAGCAATATGCTCATAACAACATCATGAGCTGGAAAAAGGGCCTCCTGAGTGGCTGGCGTTTTACATCTTTATGGGGTAGCATGATCAGTGCTATGTACTGTGAACTTTTCAAGGAGCGCGTAGACCCGAACAGCATATATGCTGTTCAGGGTGTTGACATATTTATACTGCCTTCGAAACGTGTTGACAAATCCATCAGTTTGGCACTGGCAGAAAAAATTGGTCTAGTAGTTCATGAAGAGAAAACATCCTCCACCTCAATTGGCGAGTTTTTGAAGTACAGATATCACAGAAATAAGATCGATGTGTATCCAGCGAGAACGGTTCGGAGCATTTTTTACGCAAAACCGTGGCCTGATAAATACGCCGTGGTAAACCCGTATCAGATTGCAACATCTGTTGCAATATTTGTTATATCATTTATATCATAAAATATTATATAATATCATTGCTTAATATT